CTAGATAGCAAGGATAACTCTGCCTTCTCTAGTAGTATTCTAAAGTTGTTGTTGTTAAGGCATGTTGTGTTAGGGTAAAAGGTGGTCGTGCCAAGAGAAAGTGGCCGGTTCGGTGATATAGCCGGCTCGGTGATAATCTACGTTAGCACTAAAGAGGAGGTAATTATCTAGCACGTGTTAAGGCTAGATAAGCAAGGATTCTCACCCTAACTCACTAATGTAGAGGGTATAGCTAATTCTCTGCCTGCTAAGCGCTACTAGACCCCTATTAGCAAGAACTAGGCTACTAACTTTGTTAAACGTTAGCTAGAGCTTAAAGTTAAGTTTAATTATAAGTATAACTACAAGAGAGCGCTATATAAGGATCCTAAGGTAATTAGTAACTAGTTCTAGCTTATAGAGAATACTAAAGCTAAGTATAGTATCCTAGATAAAGACACCTACAACTTTAATAAATCTAGCTTTATAATAGGCGTTATATCTACTAGTGCTGTTGTTACAGGCTCTGAGCGTTAAGGGAGACCAAAGACAGTGCAGCAGGGCAACTAAGAGTAGACTAGCATTATCTAAGGCATCTGCACAAAGGGCTAGTCTATCCTACCCTTTATTATCCTCTCTAGCAAGCACTACCTCTTAGCCTAGTACAAGGAGCCTAGTATACCTAATAACTAGGTTATTAGTGTCTCTAACAGCAGCTAGACTAACAATAAGCTTAGAGTTAAGTAGTTAAAGTACTTTAATAAGCACATAAAGGCGCGCACTATTGGCAGCTACTAACTGCTTATTCTAGACGGCCACAAGAGCCACAACTTAGTTAAATTCCACTAGTACTGTAAGGAGCACAAGATTATCACTCTGTGTATGCCCCCACACTCATCCTATCTGCTACAGCTGCTTGACGTGGGTTGTTTCTCCCTATTAAAGAAGGCCTATAGCCGCCAAGCCAAGCAGCTGATGCAGAGCAAGATCACTCACATCACTAAACTTAAGTTCTTGCTGTGCTTCAAAGCTGCTTTTAATGCTTCAATTACTAAGAGCAACATCTAGGGAGGATTCAGAGGCGCTGGCCTAGTCCTATTTAACCTAGAGGCTGTGATATTAAAGCTTAAAGTACAGCTACGCACGCTAACACTACCTATTATAGACAACAGCATGTAGGAGTCTAAGACACTAAGCAACACCCTAGAATTTAGGTCTTAATTAAAGCTAATTTAAGAGAGGATCTAGAGACACGCTAATAGCTTACTAATATTAATAGTTAACGCCCTTAATTAGCTTACTAAAGGCGCAGAGCTAATAGCACATTTACTAGTTTTAGTGCGCAACTAGGTTGCTAACCTTTAGGTAGCTAACAAGGCTGCTATACGCTATAAATTACACAAAAGAAAGCAATTATAGCAAGATAGGGTATTAACCTTTGCTAAGGGAGTGTGGCTAACTACTCTAAAGGAGTTTAAGGCCTGTAGTAATAGGAAGAAGGCAAAGAAGAGAGGAGGCGCTAATAGCAGCACTTAGTTATTAAGACACTGTAGCATATGTGGCAAGGCAGGGCATAACAGGACAACGTGTAAGAAAGATGCGCAAAGTACTGTAGATTAGTGCAATATACTGTGTAGTACATGATATTGTTGTTGTGTGCTGTAATATTGTAAAGTAGTTGTAGTGTTGGTGTAGTCTTGGCAAAAGTGAGCCACTCGCTTGTGTGAGCCACTCGCTTGTGGAGTACGTTAATGTTGTTAAGTTGTTTTGCAGCCTCACTGTAAGCCCTTTAAACCTCGTTGACGAGTATCTCAACTAACCCGAGAGGATGTGCTGCATACTCATTTGCTCGATGCCGCTATCTTGTTTGCAGCAGCGGCCCAGGGCGAAGACACATCACCACTCTAGGTTGATTAGCTGCCACAAAAGCTCGGACTTCCCAAGAACCTGCGGTCTTCACGAGAAGAGCTTTGTGTTACACTTAGAGATCTGCTGGGCCTCCCTGATGAGATCGACCGATTACTGGGCAAGCACGAGGGTACTGACAGCGACGGCTTCGACGATGGTATGAAGACAGCATCGAACGAGACAGCATCGAACGATGTAGATCCGACTTTTGATGCGCATGATCTACTGTGCCGCTTCCAAGGATCGAACGCCGCGCCATTCTTTGGCCCTGTCGCAGATGCCACAATTCCTTGTGCTTCTTTCGATCAGCTCCTGGAGATGAAACATGAGCATGCAGAAATTATTGCTCGTAGCTCGGACGTGTCGATTGATGGACACGCAGATGGAACCGAGGACGAGATGCATGTAAGAGTCGACGATATTGATCCTGACGTACGTCTAAACGTTATCGGTGCTGCTGGCAATCAATTGCTAACACTCCTTACCGCTCAGCCCACCGACTATGGTATAGTGACCACCACAAAATATGTGACGACTGTCTAGGAAGAGAATGAGCCGTAGTCGGCTGCATCTAGCTTTTCGATCGACTTCGCAAATCATCGCTGTTTCCCAGAGTGCTTCGAGTGGCGACGAGAGAGCCTCATCGACTACGAAGGGGAACTCCTCCAATGTGAAACAGGTGCGGGGATCTTTGACGGCTACTTCACTGACGACATTTGGACCAACGCACCAGAGCTTGATCTTACAATGACAATCAGCCGATCATCTTTCCACAATTTGTGGATCATGTTAAGCTTGAGCTACTCAAAACTCCACCACCTATATCGAAGCTATGTGAGCTCAGTCGTTCGCCGTTACTGATGTCAAGCGAAAGATACATCCATTGATCGACAGTTCGTAAACCTTGTATTCACCGAGCGCTTAGGTGATTCCATTAATGTGGCAGTGAGTCACATGCTAGCACTCGACCAGCTCGATTCGATCGTTAATTGAAACCGAACAACAATGAGTACGAGGACATCGATATTGCCGTTGTGGACTGTTGAGGGAGGAGTTCAACGGGGAAACTCCGTAGCAGCAGTGTTGATACGGTAACAATATAGTTGCAAGTTGAGTGGATTCAGGCTCTAGAGCACGACGTGCCGGCAGATCATGCCGTGATTTGGTGCTGGTGGTGTTGCTTCGTCGTATCAACTCTGTTTGATAGAGAAATCCGAAGCGGTTCCGGCAGCGATTCTTCGCGCACGCCATCAAATCTGCATCGCCCGTTCCTTCACCTAATATCAGTTGCTTCAGCGCCAAAATTTTCCCCCACTGGGTTATGTGGGACGATGAAAAGTTTCGTGGAAAATCGAGGCTGCAGAGTTTTGCCGCTGCTGCTACTGTCGGTAGCACTTGCAGGACGGCGTGTCAACAAGGCGCGATGACGATGTTGAACTACTGCTGGACTTTTCGTGTACATAAGTCAGCCCCAGAAAGGTTAGTCTTCACACCAGTGTCTATTTTTGGTGCAGAGCGCGACCAGGTTCAGGTTTTCGTTCGACCTTGTGGTGAAGCTGGGGAGAGCATGCGGGACAATAGACCCTATAAGCTCATCAAGCCAGCCAAAGGCAGTCGATTTGTTGTAGCTGTGTCAGCCGAACGAGAGTGTGAGGTGGTCTCGTACAGCATCTGAGCCGCTGTTTGTCCCCAGCCATTCACTTGATGCTGCTCGGAGCATTGCTGTAAAGCCGACATCTCCTGCACGAGACTGGGCGGCGCTCCCTCATGTGACGAGTGGTTCTCCAGTTGGATTGACCCTTTGACGAAGCGTTGGGCATCTCGCATCGCGACTCATCTGCTCGTAATCACCTACGTCTGTAAGACACATTTTATCTTGGTTGTCAGCACAGTGATGGCTGGTTCGATCTGTGGTCAAAAGCTGGCCCGTTGTATAAGCTGGCCTTGGTAAATCTAGACTCCACTGCCTTGGGATGTTCTCCGCCTGGTCAGAAGCTTGTGGTAACTAAGCATTTGCCCCTTTCGGCGGGTTCTGACTCCTGAGCATGGGGTGAACATGCACAGCGAAGATTACCTACCGCGATCTTTATGCAGCCACTCGCGGGGTTTGTGTGGTCCATCCTCTCTGGACGTTTTGTGGGGCACAGGTAGGGGGGCCATTATCAGCCAACGGAATACGACGAAACCCCCACCAGACGCGCTGTTATCTGCATTACGGGCAGGCGGATACGGGTCCACCAGTAGTGGCAGTAAAGAGGCCCAACATTGAACAAAAAGTTCTGCTTGTTCGCGTTCGACTCCCGTGTCTCAGAGAAAATGCTGATGGCGGATATTTGGGTTTGTGAGGCTGCATCTGAGTGTGGCTGCTCAGCCCACTGCTGGTGCTGATTATTCGACAAATCGGGATACCCCAGCAGCCGTAGTGTAACGCTCACGTCAACACAACCATGCATCGCATCGCCATAACGGTGATGGCGCATTGCTTGTTTTGCGCGTAGCTTGCTTAATCGGTTAAAGACATGGCCTCGTACACTAATGCGGGTCAGAATAAGTGGCGATAGTCAGGGCAAGAGTCAATATTTGGAAAATAAGCGGATGAGTATCTCCGACTGACAGACGGCGCAGAGAGGGCCCACTGCTGTCACCAGCCGGATGCAGAATGGTCGCAGAACTTGCGAAAAAGCTTTGGACAGGAAAGGCGGGGAAAGGGCTGCGTCGGCCAACACCATAGCGCCGGCGATCTCATGAACGTTGCGGTTAGCCACAGCCGCCAGCCCAGAGCCGAGGGAGAACATGGCGGCAGCGGTGGTAGCTCCGGAACGAAGAGTCGTCATTTCGTGGATTCGGGAGTCGGGAGTTGTGCAGGGCGCTGGTGTGTTGTGACGACCGCAAGTGAGGTGACAGTCGCCGTAGAGTGCCGATGAGTGGACTATAAGCATGCGCTAACACCCAAATGAGCAAGACAAAACCATAAATAGACACAGCCGGTCCAGACGCCTCCTTGCCGCCATGACCAAAAGGAGGTAGGGCTGTGTCTTCCGCCACGCCGCTCCTGACCAGGTATTGTGCTGCTAGAGCAATCCAATTTGAGCATCGACACTATTGATGTACCGTGCCCATCGTGTTCCCAAGATGGAACCTCGTGTTGTGTCCAAGATGTCACTTCGTAAGTAACTGAGCGTTGGCCATGGCGACGTCAGCTATCAGACAAGCGTGCGGATGCTCAGGAGGTTCTCAGTACCTATATAACTTTCCTTCGTCCTCGCTCTAATACATCTCATCACAGCATCAGTTTTTTAATCACTACCTTCGCTTTCCTAGCTTTCTCAAGACAGACACTCTCGCTTCAGTCTATCTCCAGATTTCTTGTACTTAATACTTAATCTTCGAAAACAACGGTCAATTCGTCTTCAAGATGCGTTACTCTTTCGTCGCTGCGGCCATCATCGGCGCCGTTGCTGCCTCTCCCGTCGCCGAGTACGGCTACCAAGTAAACCAGCCCTCCAGCAGCGCGCCTGTCTACCCTGAGTACCCTGTTGCAACTCCTAGCTCTTCGAAGCCAGTTGTGCCGGTTGTCCCTTCGAGCTCCGTTCCTATGATCCCCTCGAGCTCCATGCCTGTCGTTCCAGCAAGCTCCGTCCCCGTGGTCTCTTCAAGCTCTGTTCCCGTGGTCCCAGCCAGCTCCACGCCCTGCTCGAGCAGCTCTGTGCCATCCATCCCAGCCACCTCTTCGATGCCAGTTGTCCCAACCAGCTCTGCTCCCGGCTACCCTGTAAACACCCCCAGCAGCTCCGTTCCTTTCTTCGGAGTCACCACGAGCGTTCCGGGTGGATGCAACCCAGCCCACCCAGGATCCTGCCCTACCCCCAGCAGCTCGGTTCCTTTCCTCGGAGTCACCACGAGCGTTCCGGGTGGATGCAACCCAGCTCACCCAGGATCCTGCCCCACCCCCAGCAGCTCGGTTCCTTTCCTCGGAGTCACCACAAGCGTTCCGGGTGGATGTAACCCCGCTCATCCCGGCAGCTGCCCGACCCCTTCCCCATCGCACCCCGGCGAGACCTCTTCGATTCCTTCTATTCCTACCACGAAGGCCCTGACCACCTTCACCACCACCACTGTCTGTCCCGTCACTGAGACTCACGGCACCTCGGTCATCACAACCTTGACCACCAGCACCGTCACCATCACCTCTTGCAAGGGAGGCTGCCATGAGTACGAGACCACTGCCGTCCCCCCGAAGCCCACTGGCGAGGCTCCCAAGCCTTCCGTCTCTGTTGATATTCCTCAGTACACCCCCGTTCCTGCCAACGGCCCTTCCGTCGCCGTCGGTATTCCTCAGTACACCCCCGTTCCTGCCAACGGCCCTTCCGTCGCCGTCGGTATTCCTCAGTACACTCCTGTCCCTGTCCAGGGCAACAAGCCTTCCGTGGCCGTCGG